CCACCCAAAATAGATATTGAGATATTTTTAATAGCAAACTTATAGGAATTTGACAGAAGACAGACAACATTAAAACCATACAGTTGCTGGGTGCAGTGGTACATGTCTGAAATTCCTGTAACTTGGTAGGCCATGTCCAGAGAATCACTAGAGCCCACAAGTTTGAGGCCAGCCTTGGCAACAAAGCAAGACACCATCTCAAAAAAATAAACATTAAAAAAACAAACAAAAACAACAACAAAAACCCCAGAACACAAAATGATGGCCTTGACCAGAAAAATTTAACTGATTTGTTTATTGTTGTTATAAAGTTGAACTCCTGAAACTTGTTTGCTGAAATATTTTGACATTCATTAATGCTTTATATTCCTGAATTTGTATTAAATATTCACCCACCAATAAACATGGAAAAACTGCCAATACCTCACTCCTATACCCTACTTTTCCTTTTATAATTGCATATTTAGGTACCTTTTGACTCCTGGGGGAAAATATCTAGCATTTAGAACTATTAATAACAGAAAGATTTGATTTATTATTTTATATGTTTGAGAAATGTTTCCCATGGTAGTGGATTTCTTCACTTATGTGGCCACTGATGTGTTTTGACATCATTGTTACACATTTTCTGGGGATAGTGCAGAGATTGGCGTTTTTTTGGGGGGCTGGGTGGGTACCAGAGATTGAACTCAGGGGCACTTAACCTCTGACCCACATCCCCAACTGTATTTGGTATTTTATTTAGAGAAAGGGTCTCACTGAGTTGCTTAGTGCCTCACTTTTGATGAGGCTGGCTTTGAACTTGTGATCCTCTTGCCTCAGACTCCTGAGTTACTGGGATTACAGGCTTGTGCCACCACACCTGGGTCCAGGTTGGTGTTTTCAACAAGGTCAACTACATAGGCCTTACTTGCCTTCTGCAAAGCACCAGTAGCTGTACTCTGAGGTGCAGTTCTGTTTGGAAATTCTCACACCTGATCACATACTGGAAGGAAAACTTGCTGGACTTTTGATGACATTTAATTTCAAGTGCCACAATACTAGACCTACCATGGTGAAGTTTCTTCACCCCTCCAATATAGGTTGCACTCTTTTGTGTGTTTGGTACCAGAGATTGAACCTGGAATTGTTTACCCATTGAGATACATCCTCAGCCCTTTTTATTTTTCATTTTGAGACAAGGTCTTACTAAATTGCTTAGGATTTTGCTACATTGCTGAGACTGACTTTGAACTTGCAATCCTCCTGACTCAACTCCTGAGCTCCTGGGATTACAGGCATGTGCCACCATGCCCAGCTAGGGTGCACTCTTATAAGTTGTTTTTGTAGTCATTTGCTTCTTGGCTGCTTTCCTACTAATTTATTTGCAGACAGTCTTTTTTTTTTTTTTTTGCACCAGGGATTGAACTCAGGGGTGCTTAACCACTGGATTTTATTTAGAGACAGGGTCTTGTTGAGTTGCTTAGGACCTCTCTGAATTGCTAAAGCTGGCTTTGAACTCATGATCCTCCTCCCTCAGCCTCCCCAGCTACTGGAATTATAGGCATGCATCACCAAGCTATGCGACTATCTGCTTTGTACTAGCCATGATTTAGAGATCCTCCCTACTTATCTTCCTTAACCAGTAGCATCCTTTAATTCCTTTTAAAATCAGAAGGTGAAAGAGTATAGTAATCAATCTAGCCTGGATTGTATTTGTCTTTATACCAATGCAGTCATAGAATGAAAATATACTATGTGAGATATATATATATGTATATGTGTGTGCGTGCATGTGTATATGTATTTAAGTATATATATTATATAAATCAATGTTATTTTTTATTAAACACTAATACCAGATGTTATTAATTAATATTAAGCATATATAAATAATATATATATATTTTTAATGGTGGAAGAGGCTTTAGAGACAAAGTTCCTAGGGCCCACAAAAGTCATGATGAGCTTGGATAAGAAGTCTTTAACCTTAGACATGATGAGTTTGAAAGGCCTGTAGGATATCTAAGATTGGAAGCTGTTGTAAATGTGGATGTGGAGCCTAGGAATGAGGTAGGGACTAGAAATAGATTTGAAGGTCAGTAGCATAAAGAAATTTGATACCTTGGGAGCACATTGTTGTGTCATTTGGAGGAGTTGAGGCCTTAAATCCTAAGCCAACTTTTAAGGGGGTTAAGAAGAGGAAGAAGCACCCATTAAGAAACTAAGTATGAAGTTCCTTACAGAAAGATGGAAGAGTGGTAAAACTGGTGTCATGAAAATCAAGGGTGAAGTATATTTAAGAAGGAATGACCAGCTCTATCAAGTAAGATAAGAAGAAATCATGTTCATTGGAATTGGGGTCATGCATGCCATTGGTGACCTTGGGCAGAGGAGTGTAAAGGTGGCAAGACAGGAGTGGGAGGTAAGGAAGGGGACTTTCTAGAAGTTTGCCTGTGGAAGAGAAGAGATAAGAGATAAAGGAATTTTTGTTTTGTTTTGGTGCTGGGGGATTGAATCCAGGATCTCACCCATGCTTAGTATTTGCTTTACTACTGAGCTACGTTCCCTGCCCCAGAATTTTTGTTAAGGTAGGAGAGAGTTAAGCATTCTGGTCAGATACTAGCAGAGAGGGAGATGTTGAAATGTAGGACATAACAGACTAAATCTATGCAGAAGGTGAAGCTTTAACCTTGGTGAGGAAAGAGGGGGGATGCTCTCCCTCTCTTATCAGAAGGGCAGAATGGCATGAGTTATCAGCAACTAAGTGAACAAGAACGGGAGCATGATGTCCCATCTACCTCTGCCAGATTCTGGTGTTATCACCAGATCCTTGGAACCTGGCCATTTGAAGTCTTGCAGGGTGTGGCCATCAGGCATTTTTGGCTAGGGTTCTTAACATTTTCCTTACCAGTTACTAAACCTGTTGCTTTCCCTGCAGAATTTTTGGCTCCTGGGTTCTATTAAAAGCCTGTTTTTAAATTTGGAGCATAAATTCTTGGCTACTGAGAACTTTAAACCTAGCCTCTACTACTGACAATCTTGAAAATATATCAGTTTTATAATTAATATCAAATAATAAAGGAAATTTTTCCTCTTGTTTGACTTAAAGGGTAACTTTTTGTTAGCATCTGTCACAATGATTATCATTGCTATGAATAATTGTAACATGTAAGTTAGGAATGTCAATAAAAGTTTTATTCAGATTGCAAAGAAATGTGCCAACAAGGGCTGGGTCTGTAGCTCAGTGGCAGCATGCGTGAAGCCCTGGGTTCGATCCTCAGCACACATAAAAGTAAATGAATTGGGGCTGGGATTATGGCTCAGAGGTAGAGTGCTTGCCTAGCCTGATGTGGCAGTGGGTTTGATTCTCAGCACCGCAAAAAATAAAGATATGTATCCAACTATAACTAAAAAATAAATATTAAAAAAAAAGAAATTTGCAAATAAAGAAGATTTGGGGTGACTATTTAAGAAATCACTTGAGCTGGGTGTGGTGGCACACACCTATAATCCTAGTGTCTCCAGAGGATGAGGCAGAAGGATTGAAGATTCAAAGCCACCCTCAGCAATTTAGCGAGGCCCCAAGCAACTTAGTGAGACCTGTGTCAAAATAAAAAGGACTGGGGATGTAGCTCAGTGGTTAAGCGCCCCTAGGTTCAGTCCCTGGTCCTCCCCTCCCCCCACCATAAAAAAAGAAAGAAACAAAAGCACTCAAAATATTCAGGTTTAGAGAGCAGCATGTGGGGTAGGGGAGGTGAGGTCGTGGCCCAGCAGGGACGGTCTCCCTCCACCGGTCTCCCTCCACCGCGTGTGGGGCCGGGGCACTCACTTGCAGCCCTTGGGCACCTTGGGGACACTGGGCTTGGCTGCCTTCTTCAACTTCTTGCTCCCAGCCGCTGCCTTCTTGGCCTTGCTGCTGCTGCTGCTGCCGCCCCTGTCCTTGGTGGCAGCGGCCTTCGGGGCGCGTGCTTGTCTGCTGCGGCGCTCTTGGTGGGCCAGGGGTCCGCTGGTGCCCTGCTACCGGCTTCTTGGGTTTGTGCACTACAGGCGCGGAAAAGGGGCTCACCATTAGCTGGCCGCCTGCTTTTGGCGATGGAGCTTGAAGGAGCCAGTGGCGCCTGTGCCCTTGACCTGCAGTAGCAAGTCATTCTGCACTAGCATGCACCAAGTACTTGAGGATCTTAATAAAGATGCTATGAAAGAATGTAAGACAGAAAAATAATTAAATATTTTTACTGTGGCCTTGGGAGAGCTCCAGTGCTTGTAGCCCTGGCATTGATTGAAGGCGGAATGAAATATGAAGATGCAGTACAATTCATAAGACAAAAGCGGCATGGAGCCTTTAACAGCAAGCAACTTTTGTATTTGGAGAAGTATCGTCCTAAAATGCAGCTGCGCTTCAAAGACTCCAATGGTCATAGAAACAACTGTTGCATTCAATAAAACTTGGGCGCCTGATGCTATTGCCTTGGAAGTGGAACTTAAGATGGGACCTAATTTGTCGTACATATTAGCCAATATGTTGGCGTGGTGAATAAGTCTGATGAAGCTTCTATAGGAGTATTGGAAAGCAGTTTTACCAGGCCACAAGCTTGACAGAATTTCAACCTCTATGTTTGGGTTATGGTCAACATGTTTGGACACTTAGCAAAAGATTCTTGCTGTTCACAATTTAAAATGTGCTTATCATTTGTACCAGTTGACCTTTCCTGAAATCATGCGGTATTGAGTTAATGTCTTTAAATATATTTCCATGCCAGAATCTTACATAAGAAATTTAGAAAGATTAGGTGCCAAAATACCCAGCACAATACTTGTATATTTTTAGTATCATACAAAACCAAAATTTTAGGAACTAAGAACACTCTAGACCTTATGTGATTTATTCCTTCG